TTTTTCAAAAGAGATCCATAAAAAAAATTTACTTCGTATTCTCTATATTTCTTTCTCGAAGCTATGCATGATTCCTGGTCGTTTCTAATTCTAATCAATCAATCATTACCGTATATTTTTTTTTCTTTCTAAAATAACCTTAAAAAAAATATACTTCGAGTTATTTATCTTTCTTTTTCGAAGCTATATATGATTCCTTGTTATTCACTTAATCATGAAACTTTTTACACCCAATCAATCAATCAATCAATCAATCAACCAATCATGCAAGCAAGCAAGCAAGCAAGGAACCAACGAACCAATCAATCATCCAAACAACCAATCAATCAATCAACCAACCAACCAACCAACCAACCAACCAATCAATCAATCAATCAATCAATCAATCAATCGATCAATCAATCAATCAATCAACCAATCAATCAGTCAATTAATCAATCAATCATGAAACTTTTTGCATACATGGGCTCACCGTCACACCATTCGATCAATGGAGACATTGATCATTCTATTAAAAAACTCTTGATAGAGATGGTGACCGTATGAGAAAATTATTCATTGCGAAGATATTTGGACGTAGTTCGAGTCAGATACATCCAGATCCGGGCGTAATTCCAGTCAGATACATCTAGTCAAGTCCCAGTGTGAGATGGTCTCTATCACTCAGCAATGCTTTCCTTATCCGTTTCTTCTTCGCCCTCTCTATGACTTTTTCGACCGGTATGTTAACGAAATTGAAGCTAGATGCATCCAGGCGTCGCCATAATTTCCTTGTTTTCTTCTATTCCCACTCTGTTAGCGAGCGAAAATTGATTTTCCTCCACAATTTTTTTTCCTTTTCTGTTATTTTACCTACAACCTTTCGTTTATTTTCTTTCTACATTAATTTAGCTTAATTACCAAAATCAAAACGGGCGTTACCTACAGCTTGACCGTCGCTGCATCCTTCCTCTTTCCATAAATGCGGTCAGATACATCCTGATTTTACCGTAATTACATCTGCTACCCTTCTCTTCTACGCCCACCCCATTTTCCTGATCGTGTCCATTCTCTTCGTCCTCGTCCCTTTTTTTAATATTATTTTAATTATTGATTTTTTGATTTTTTTTTTTAATTTAAAATTCGTAGTTGAAACCCTCTACCTGGCGCTTCGTGCATAATTATCAGGTTTACCAACACCTCATACATACATACATACATTCATACCATAGATAGATAGATAGATAGATAGATAGATAGATAGATAGATAAATAGATAAATAGATAGATCATATAGACGTTTTTCTCTATACAATCTAAGACTTGTCCTTTATGCATTTCCATCTTTTCAAATATACATACAATAACCACTGCGTTGACAAAAAAACAACCACATGGTTGGGCTAGTTTAGGAAGGAAGGTAGGGGGATAGTTTAGTGGCTGGGCGGTTTTTGCAGGAACTAAGGGCCTACTCACAGAGCGTTGGAATTGAAGCAAAATCTGCAAAATTTGCAATACCTCTTTGGGAGGAATGTCACCCCAGTCGGTCACACAGCCGGAGCAAATAAAAAAGAACACGAATAGGACTTAGGCGTGAACCCCACAAGGAAAAAACGAGGAAAAACCGACATGGAAAAACTTATTTCGGACTCCATCGGACGAAGCATGCGGTCCTCCGAAAAGCCGATTTCAGGACGGCGATGAGGTTTTCCGAGATCCCACAGCCTGGAAAACGGTATATGAAAAAACCATATTTTTTGTTTTCACGTCGGTTTCCGGTCGAAAAACTGGTTGTAAAGGAGTTTCCGCCGTATTTTTGTGCCCTTTCCAGAGAATAGGGGGCGGAGCACTTCCATGATTGGAATCCATTGTCCGCCCAAAGTCGTTCCCTGGTCCACTGGACAGGGCTACGGACATGTTATTGTCGTCCAATAGGCGGGGAAGAACCGAAACAGGTGCAAGGCCGGACATTAGCGACCACCATCCGGTTCATCTCCAATTTCCAGCCTTTCCAAGCTCGTGGAAAGTGGCTTTTCCAGACACTCTTGTGGGGCCCCGCCCTTCTGCAGGTGAACTCTTCCAAACACTTTTCCACGAAAACCCGAAACATGTCACTTTTCCAACACTTTTCTTGTGGGGTCTAGACCTTAGAGGTGGACCTCATAGGGGAAAAACTCGAGAAAACCACCTTGCAAGATGTTTTCTCGGACCCTACAGACAGCGGAAGAATGCCTGGAAGTCCTTTTTCTTTCGGGATCCCAGACCCCACCAGGCAAAAAAGAGTCGCGTGGAAAAGCGACGAAGTACTTTCCACATTCAATTCAGGCTGGAAAGTGCCCACATTCCGCAAATCCGCCGAAAATTTGTGAAAAACGCAGGGGGTAAGGGGGGTGCATCCCCGTGTGTTTTCCGAAGTTGGAAGAAAATGCGCAGGTTCACATGATCTCCGTCAGGCACGGCCCACTGGAAGCTCCGACTCGACGACCACCCCGGAGGTCCACACCTGCCTACCGGACTATATCAAGCGACGTCCCCGTCGCTACGCTAAATCAGAAGGCTACAAACTCATTCACATTCCAAATGTTGACGAGAGCGGAACCAATTCCGATTAGCCGACAGACTCAGGGTCGAGGCCTCCAACACTCCATGCCGCCATAACTATATGCTGCCAAGGTTTCAACCTGGGTTTCTGTTGTCCTGACACTAGGACGCAGGTGTATTACGCATCAATACTACAACATAAGTTCCAAAGGCCACCTCAAACCGTCCTTTCCCCTTCGTCCTAGACAAACGCCGGCTTTTCGTTGGGTGTCCCAGTTAGACTCTCTCTTACAAG